CCCCCCCCCCCCCCCCCCCCCCCCAGGGCAGACCAGGAAGGGGCTGTGACCTGTGTAAGGCCATTCACCTAGCAAGTCAGGGAGCAGAGCTTTGCGAGTCGTTTTCCCCATGGCCCTCTGGACCCCCTCAGTAACCAAGGACAAGTCTCCCAGAGTAAGACTGGAAGGTGGCCTGGGGTAGGGGCGGGGAGGTAGGTGTGTGAGCACTGGTCCTGTTCTGTTTCTTGATCGGGTTCCTGGTTACACGCGTGTTCGGCTTGTGAGTGCGTTATCTGCGCATTTATGATTTGGGCCCCTTTCTGCAGTGCCGCTCTCTGCTCCGGCGGGCGCTGGGCTGGCAGGACGCACAGCGAAGGGTAGGGGCACCACAACAGCCTGATGTTAAATGTGCCAAGCTCAGCCCGCCTCTGGGCTTCTGGCCATTCACTGGAATGCCAGTCAAGGTCCGCCCACCACCAGGGTCAGCACATATCACCCAGTCCTCAGCCCTCCGGGGGCTCCCCCACATCACCAAACTCCATCCACGTTGTTATTTCAAATATTTAGCCTTCTTTCCTCAAGAAATGGCAAGTTTTCAGGGGTGTGCTGGGATGACACTTTCAACTTCTTTCTACATGGCCTCCCCGAAGAAATAGGGGTTGAGCCTCCAAGAGACCTAGATTACAATGATTTTATCCCTAGCTGTGTGTCTTTGGTCAAGTATCTCGGCCTCTCTGAGCTCCACTCTTGGCACTTGTAAAGGAGGGCTGATAAGAAGGTCGGAAGTGTCTATCCCTCCCTAGTCTATGACAGTTGAGGAGCTAGATGGAGTTCTATGGCCTTAGGCAGCCCAAGTTCTAGGCCTGGGTCTACCGAAGCGGTGACTAGGCCCAGAGGAGAAGTAAGCTTTGTGGGCCTGTCCCCTATCCGTGCACCAAGGGGCTGGGCTGGCTGAACTCCCAGGGCCCTTCCAGCTCGGACATTCCAAAACCCTGTGAAAGAAGATGAGTAGTGGCCAGCTCTGGGTGGGGCCTGTAATCTCTGCCCTCCAGAGACCCTGGGTGGGGAGGCTGGGAAGGGTCACTGGCAGGGTGCCAGGCCTTGTGTGAGCCTGGAGCGTAGCCACCAGAGGACTGGCGAGCAGGCAGCAGGAACGGAAGGCTGTGGGCTGGAGGGAATAAAACATGTGGGGAGGAAACACAATGAGATTCCCTTTGGCTCCGGGCCCTCCCCGGCATGCGGGCTGCGTGCCGACCCGAGCCACGGGCGCATGCAGGACAGGGGTGGGGAGACGTCCCCTCCCAGGCTGAGCGGGCAGGAAGCCAGCTCCAGCTCCCAGACTCCATCAGGCTGGCAGCTGAAAGGGCAGAGCCAGCGACAGGCCGCTGTCCCTCCTGGTGATGGACACGTTAGAGACAGGGAAGGGTCATTAGCCGAGCTATAGCAGAGACCCTACACGGCCCGACCTCTCTGACCCTGCTGTCTACCCTGGAAAGAATCCTCATTATCCATATGCCCATTTCATAGATGTGGACTTAACATCTTCACAGACTCCGCTTAAGTCCTTCGCAGAGGATGTAACCAGGGGAGCCCCAGGTGGGTGAGACTTCCGAGCCTGTGCTCTGAGACCCACTTCTAATGGGGAGGGAGAGGCTCCCGCATGGCTGAGTCTTGGGGAATCTGTAATGTCTCAGGCCAGATGATCTCTGTGGACCCCTCAGACCCAGTCAGGGTCATCAAGAGGGGAGAGGGCCCAGGGGCTCTCGGTGAGAGGAGGGGATGGGGCATAGGGCGTGAGGGGCTAGGAGGCCTCTACCCCTGCCACCCTGTATGCCTGCAGACTGTCCCAGGGGGCCAAGATGACAGCAGCCTCTGCTTCCCACCCCCTCAGCCCAAGGCCCGCCCTGACTGCACGAGAAATGCCCGCCCTCAGGGTGCCCACTCTGAGCCCACCTGCACCCCTCCGCTCAGAGGCCAGGCTCTCTAGAGGCCTAGACAAGCTGCGGAAGCAGCCCAGACTCCTGGGCTGCCCCCAGAGACCCCCTGGGGCACTGAAGCTGCACAGGCCAAGCCCTCCCCTCTGACTGCAGCCCTCCTACCTCCCCAGGCTCGTCCAAGATCGACATCCATCCCTTCTTGAAGTTGAGCAGATCGGGCTATGGAGAGATAAGGAGGCACATAAGTTAGGCCTAGTGGAGAACCAACTGGGGCTGGGGAAGGAGTGTTGTACCCATCCTGCCCCCTGAGTCCTGTGAGACTGGGGTCCTGGAAAGCCAGGAGAGGGGGCTGAGGGCCCAGGTAACCCCCAAATCCGGGCAGGCTCCCCAACCACTGAGATAGCCTTGGCCCCTGTCCCCGACAACCTCTGAGAGCCAAGACGGCAGGCAGGGTGACTGGCACATCTACCACAGGTGGCCAGGCTCCCCTCCTGCCAGCCTACTTCCTCACCAAAGAGCGGGAGAGAGACCCCAGAGGGCTCTGAGAACAGCCTGAACCAGCAGGACTGAGCAAACTGTCCAGTTGCTCTCACCGACAAGGCCAGGAGGCCCATCAGGAAAATGCCTTAAAGCTCCCCCCCCCCCCCCCCCCCCCCCCCCC